TCTGCACTGGGCAATCTATGGCGACTAAAGTAAACCAAGAAATGTGTGTTTTTCTAATAACAGATCATAAAACTCTTAAAAAAAAAAAAAGTCAATACCAAATTTATCTGTGGGTACAACTGGAGTAACTGCCTTTTTCTTCACTTTCAAGACATCTAATGTTAGACACAGAGTGTTTTCAATTGTTGAGAGTTTGTTCCATTGCAAAACCCAGTGTTTCAGCAATAGGTCAAAGTGCCATTAAAATTGCACATTTTTCTTCAATTATGAGAATACATGGTAGCATGCAATGTTTGTCTGTTACTACGCCTAGAAGCTTGCACTTACACTAACCTATGAATGATGTGGGATCTCTTAAAAAAACCAGAAGAACAACAACCAAAATACAAACATAAAAATGATAAAACTGAAGTGTCAGTTGACAAACATTCCCGGGAAGGTTCTACTTAGCAAGCCTTACAGTAACACCTCGAGAAGAGCAACATCAGAAGGGTCTGATGTTCCAAACTCAGGTTATACTTTGCATAGGCAGTCAAGGCAATTGCACTGCAGTGCAACTAAAGTGTATTTTTGTCTGCACTTCTGCAAACCCCTGCTTTGATTCCCCCCACCCCCAAACCACTAATTTTGCTTATAAGTCAATTCTAAGTTCAGTTACTTTAGTCTCAGCTAATGTGAAAATGTGTATATAATTAAATGGAAAAATACACTAATGGCTCTTTCCTCTCCTCCCTCCCCCAAATTCATGTCATATCCATTAGTATACACCACGCACTTTCCAAAACTTTTCCTATCTGTTAACATCAGCATTACCCCGACAGAATGAAGAATTGCATACTACACAAACAGTACATATTTAAATAATGCTCAAGTGTAAACAACATAGGATGGAAACAGTTTTAAAAATCCCAGTGAGGTACAGCAAAAACTTAATTTGCTAGTTTAGTCTTTTGAGTGCAATTGAAACACTTTGTACTGCCCTTCTCCATAAAGATCTCTCCACAATTAAGCTACACTACTAGGCTTATTTCCCTTAAAGCTACATACCCATGCTATAACTCATTATATCGACAATGCAAATATTTGTGGGGGAAAATTAATTTACAGGGTTAATTAAAATCTTTATAGTATTCAAAAGGAATGATAGTAAAGGGGTCAACCATGGAAAATGTGGTAATACACGTTTTTAAAAATATTTCCAATAATTCTAACACAAAACAGCAAGTATATTTTGAAAAATGCATAGAAACCCTGTCAATACAAAAATCCCCACTAAAATTACAGAACTAAGCAATTTTAATCTAAATATTTTATGTGCTTTTCCTATAAAGGCCACTTTGACATACAAATACAAAAAAGTTTACATTTTTCCCCAAAATAAATCATTTGTTCCTCAATTAAAAATACTGAATATGGAAGCATAACAACCCTCTCGCATGCCAGCTGCTCATCTGCAGTGGCTACTTCCAAAGAAGAAAAATCTCCAAATATTTTCAATTACCAAGAGAAATAAGAAACGCCTTCAGACTTTGTTCTGCCTAGCAGTAGGAAAAACCTGGGGTAAGGAATGGAACAGGCTGAACCCCTTACACTGTTTGTGCCGGGGAGGAATGAATATACACTGACATCTGCAGAGAGATTTTCTGTTTGCCTCTCTTATGCTCCGAAATCCCTTTTTGGAATCAGAGAACTAAATCAAGGTTAACCTGAATTAAAGAAAGGCAAAATAGTAAATGGAGTTAGAAGGGACAAGCAGTATGAGGAACAAGGAGGGTTAAGTAAATGAAAAATATAGTCAAACTACTCAGAAGAAAGCATGTAGAGTTGAGAAGACATCATCAACTGCTAGAGAAGAGCTACTCATGGGATGCAGAAGCAGGGGAAAACAGTGCACCAGTTTTATTAGCATTTAATAGGGGGAAGAAGTGGAACAGAAGGAATAAACTTCACTGGAAAAACAAAGCAACAGAACAAAGAACCTTCACCAGCAGTCCTGACCGCAGGGGCATTTATCCCTGAATTGCCATGGAAGCAGCAAAATCAAACTCACATACACACACACAAGCAGTGGAAACGAAAACTTACTTGGACTGGATTTGAGACGTCACAGGTACATTCTTTACTGTAAGCACCAGACCCACAGCTGAGAAACACAGGAACACAAAAGCAAGACCTACACCTATCTGGAGGGGCACGACAAACCCAAAAGGCCTGACATGCTCTAGAGCAGAGATGCAAACGTCGTCAAGTGGCCCCTAAGTTACTCCAGCGAGTAAACCACGCTGGCAGGACTATGAGATAAGTCGACAACAGGAGACAACAGACGGGGGGGATACACTTGGACAGCACATCATTCAGAGCCAAAACACCTAATAGACCAACGGGCATGGGGGGGACAGGGACGGAAGAAAACCAGTGAACAAGCGTTGATTTGGATGCAGGATTCTTGGGCAGCCACTGAGTACAAGTTCTCCTAACCTTGGACCAAGGACTGGATTTGGAAGGACACAAGAGCCGTGAGTCTTCGGTAACACAAGGAATTCAGCTCCCTGGTGTGCTATATTGCATAGTTTGATTGAGGCCAAAGAGCATTTAACGTCTTATTTTCCCTGTTTTTAACAGAAGTGACTCGACAGACTCAGGTCAGAGCATTCCAAAGTCTGGCCCTATGGATTCACTTCTAAAGCAACACAAGAAGATTTTGGGGTGGACACAAACAAATAAAAGCAAAAACTCCACTCCCACACGAAACACAAAAAGACCCACAGCAAACGTACACACATAAAAAGCCTGTTACCTCTGTGATACAGAAGTCAAAACATGACAGCTGGGTGATGGGAATAAACCTTGCTGTCAAGCTGCATGCCAGTGGTGGTAAACAAGAGCAGGTGAGTGTTTCTACCACACCACACTGACGTATTTTTCGTAGAAAAAGTGGCAATATATTCTGACAATACCGTGGTATTTATCAAGATCTGACAGAACGCTGAACCTTTACAAGCAGCAACGTGGCATTACGTTCCAACACTCTCCTAATTACTTGGCTCACGGAATACAGGTATCGTAATTGGATTAATCAATGTAGTTGTAGTTGTTATTTCATTCTCTTATGCTAAAATAAAATATTTGTACAGTACAAAGTCAGACTAAGTATATTAGTCATCATTCATATAATATATATTTCAATTCTCTAGCCCAATCCTACAAGATTCACGGTACTCAATAAACATAGTTTACAGAGGGAAAACTCTGAAGGTAGAGCACCTAACGTGAAGAAATTCTGCTTTTTCCTTTTGAAAGCAAAATTAAAACCATCTCAGCCTGTCAGGCTCCCACTTAGATCAGTAAGCATACAAAATGCGCAACAGTTAGAAATGTCTGTTTTCTCAAAAAAAACCCCAAAAGTGGAAGGGAAAATCAGGTGGCCAGGAGCTCCCCAGTTATTTAGGCCAATACTTGCTGTTCCACCCTGCAGAAAGTTCCAGAGGTTCCAATATTTTCAGGTTTAAATAGAAGAAATACAAAATATTAGGATCTCCGATAACACTCAGTCCATAGTTTTTTATGTCTTACCCTTATGTAAGGGCCAGGGTGGACTCAGCCTTACCCAGGCTGCCAGAGCACAGCTGCAAGGCTCGGCCTCTGGGCACAGGCCTGGCAATGAGTGGTGCTGCTCTTTGGCCTTTCCTAAAATAAAAGGGTGAAGGATTTGCAAGCTCAGTGGTCCCTCATGTATTGGCTGTTTTTCAGACAGCGCTGCAGGTAACGCGGATACACTTCACGAAGGCCGCCAGCCCGTGGTTCCTGGACAAGGACAGCCTAGACAAGTCTGGAAGGTCCAGAGGGCAGCACCCAACATGTGAAGGAGGAGCATGACAAGGCAGTCGCTGGACTCTTCAAATGGCTAAAGGGCTCTTAGATAACAAGGCTGAGAAAGGATACACCGCTGGGGCTGCGAGCCTAGGAAAACGCAGTAACCCGATGTCTGGTGATGGGACAGATTCAAACATCAACCCCTGGATCCTTCCTGCTGCTTCAGACAGAGCAGGAGCACAATTTTTTTTTTTATGTCCTCTACAGAATAAAAAGCATTTAGCAATGTTAAACTACAAATCTCTAAACTGGACTGATGATACGGATTAAACAAAAATAAAGTCAGCACAATAAAGATGACCACAAAGTTGCTACGCAGGACTAAAATTCAGCTCCCTACTCCAAGAGCCTTCCCCTCAGACGTACGAGCTGACACCCCTCCAGTGATGGCAGCAGTGGGTAACTTCCCTCCGTTTACCTCCTGACCACCCGCGGCACAGGGCAGCCAAACCCTCCGGGGCCAACAGCCCTCGCCAGCCACGTGTGTGCCTCAAACAAGGGCTGAGCAGATGAGGTCTGAGGCAAAATCCATACCCCGGCCCAACATCCAGGTGCTCTGACAGCCACACAGGTCAGCGTGTCCCAGACACCCAGGGGACACCACACAGCCAGGTCCTGGCACTGAAACCAAGATGAGTATATCTGGAATAGCCACTATGATGCCAACAGAAGGCTCTGGAATTAGCAGCTAATTGGTACAGTCTGCAGAGGTGTGAATAGCTCCTTGTTTTATTCCTACTATTTGTGCGTGGCAAGTAAAACATTTGCTACATTTAATTCAAAGTTAATATGAGCTGCTACCTGAAATTTTAGAGGAAAATGTTCCCCATGAAGCATTTCTTGGTTTTTGCCTTTACAAAGAAAGAAAGGAGGCAGCATTTCCCATTACATTTTGTACTATTAAGGCCTTTTACAATTCGGGAGCTGTCTATGAAAAGGGATGTTTTTTTAAAAAAAGGACTAAGTACTCAAAAAAAAAAAAAAAAAAAAGAGAGAAGACCCCAGAGAACAAACACTAGCTGATTATCAGCTTACATTGGTACTTTAAGAAGTCAAGCACAGTGTAAGGAATTAAAAAATATGTCAAAATAGCACCTTTAGAAGCAGAAGAAAACACTTTTTTTAAATTTTTTAAAGTCTTCAAGCTAAGCAAACCCCTGCATACTTGAAGAGCTCAAACAAATGGGCAAATATATAATCAGATACAGAGGGTGGGTATTTATTTGGACAGTTTCTCCTCTGTAGGTGAGGAGAAACTCCATGGGAATAAAAATCCAGATTAGACATTACAGAACAATCAGTGAATCTCTCCACTGAGATAACAGATCAAGTTCACAGGCAAAACAGTGCAGAGTAGAGGCAGAGAGAAAACTAACTGATCTGTCCTTATAAGAGCAGAGACTTCTATTTTTTTTAAACGGATTTTTTCCTATTTAAAAATTGTCAGGACAGTCTTTCAATTGCTTCTCTCATTTACAAGTATAATAGTTACTTTCAAGTAATATGAATTTTTATTTACTTTTTACAGCAGCTGCAGGTCAACCTTGGTCTTTTTGTACAGAAACATGCATTTAAAATGAAATTAAACTGTCCTTGGACAACGGCATCATTCTGCCCCGCTTCTTGTCTGCTTTTAGGTTTTTTTATTGAAGGACAAAATGCAATTTAAAACAAAACCAAAAAAAAAAAAAAAAAAAAAAGATTTGACAAAGTGCAAAGAAAAAAAAAAAAATGAGGTAGCTGGGAACAGGGGCTTTTCCCCACAGACAAGGCAGCAGACTTCCAGCCACAAGTAACACTCACACAGGAGTGGGGTACGCATGTTCTACCTACAGGATTGCTTACAGATGTTCGGGTGATCTTGAACCTGCTGACACGTTTTACAAGCTTGATGAAAAAGTCCTTTCATCATGCATCAAGCACTCTCCCCACGTGTACCGGGTGGAGTTAAAGGATGCAGAGACGCGCAAAAAGCCAGCGCACAGAAAGATCAAGTTTGCGTGGACATCCTCCAGCCCACAGGAGCTCTTCCCAGTGACCACCAGCAACAGCAGTGCATTCAGAAGAAAATTTGGAGCCTGTTAATAAAAAGCAAACCAACCGAGACCAGAAAGCAGCATTATGCATGGGGTATGCCCAGGAATCTTCATCCACTGGTTTGACAGGGCTTTAGGGGTCAATTCTTGGCCAGCCACAGCCTCGAGTCCTCTCTGGCACTCGACGTGTCTGCAGCTGGGCAACATCCCAACCGAGGGCAGCGCGGAGTGGCAATTACAGAAGCTCTGTGCCAGAAATGGTCTCCTGCCCCATCAGATACACACAGCAAGGCCATGCGCAGTATAAGGAGAAATCTTGCTGTTTTACTGACACTTTTCCTCCCCCCTTAACACTGTAAAGCTACCTTCCGGGAGTCTACCAGAACACAGCTTGCTGTTTACATTGATTAAACTGAGATACAATAGAATACTACTCATCATACACTGCAAAAACAGTCTCAGACCCTTAAATACAAAATAGTTTTAATTACAAGAAGCAAATCATTAGGTTTTGGAAGTCAAGTAGGAAAAAAAAAAATGCTTCAAATTGACTTAGCAGCTGTTTCCCCAAGTAAACAAAAGCAGCTCTTTCCCTAAGCTAGAAGAGATCCCAGTTTCTCTAAGCAATCCAGAAGAGACCTTTGCACTAGTTTAAAACTAGTTCTGAAAGTATTTCTGAAGAGGGTACTCCTTGGCTTCCCTTCAGAAAGAAACTTTAACAAGAGCTTTAGAGAATGTCAGCTCTGTTCAACTTGACCACCTTGCCAGATAAACCAGTACACTGGTTTACTTATTCTAATAATTAAGCAGACTTTGCTTTTCAAGTCCTAAAAATAGGAAAACAAGTGACGAGGCTGATAATGCTTCCTGCTATCATGTGTAAATTAATAAAACAGATGCTGCCTAGCTGAAGCTTTAGCATTAAGGTGTGAATCTCAAGAAGATGGGGATAGGGGTTTTATAGCACTCTGCCTATCACATACCGAAATTCAGACTTGCCAAAATGGCTCTTGTTTTCATCAGGTGCAATACTGTCCCACAGGGTTTTTTTTTTTTTCTATTTTGAAATTAGGAGAGGTGGCAACATGCTAACAGAATGCACAGAAATTATACTTGTAAAACGAGCCCGCTGTACAGCCTGCTAAAATGGTGTCTTTCAGGCTCTGACTGGGTTTAGAACTACAGATTAAAAACTTGCCTTTGACAAAAAGAGAGGATGTCTTACCTTAACTGAAAAGAATTTGGAAAGGCAAAGAAAAAAAATAATTAAGGACATAAGGTGATAATTCAAAAGTACCTAGTATTAAAAAAAAATACATTTTCATGTTTTATCGATAAAATAATGTTACTTACACTGGGGATGCTTCTTTATCTCACTATTTTAATCACATCCATCAGCTTTTACAAGGGCTCAGTATAGTCTCATTTCATTATGAAAATCCAAGGGCATAGGCAGGCAACGGCATGAGTATGTTGATTTACTGATGGGCTCTGGTAGGTGTTCATTATTCACATGAAACCCTGCAAAAATACTGGGCAACAAGATTTAGCCTTGTACATCAAAGAGTTCCAATCTTCCAGCTCACTTTTTAAGACATTTCAGTACCTCGTTTCAAATAACCTTCAAATATTCTAAACAAAACCTTTATGCATTTTAATTATTTCTCTAACTAATAAGCAGCCACCTAGAATAAGCCATTTTAAAAAATATCTTCAAGATTTTTGTATCACCAACAAATTTACAACATAATCACCTGTTGGAAGCAGTTTACAGTTTAATTCTCCTATTACCCTTAAACCTTTTCAGTGGTTGTTTATCTAGTTAGGCACTTTGCATGGTTTTAGTCTATTCTTTTAGTTTACCTGCTAATCAAAAATCAGAGAGAATTGATTACTGGAGTACAACAGCAGTTAGATTAAAGAGTCACGCAGGGCACGGCTGATCAGAGATATCACCTTAAAGCCTGGCTGTAATCCTTCCTACAGTAAGTAACTTCCTAGAAAAAAACAACCCCAAAAACTACAGGGATGCTGGAGAGCAGGTGCCCAACCTGTCAGTAAACTTCAGAGCACCTGCAGAAAATGAGTGGTGCTTCACCCAAATCTTCCTGGCTTTACAGCAGTATCTCCAAGTCAGCTTTTATTGGCTCACCTTCCCAGTCTTAAAAGATCAGACAGATCTCCTTACTTTTGTTTCACAAGTAGCATGCCACGGAAACACAGACCCTACTGACGCAGCTCTCAACTCCAATAACAAGGAAGAACAACAGAAAATGGCAAATGTCAAACAGCACTGGTGACTGAAACGCAGGTCTGTACTCATTCCTTAACAGTAAAAGGAAATACTCCAAGTTAAGATGGAAATAGTAGCTCCTAACTGCAAAATACACATGTATATAATTAACACCCCTCCCACCCACCCGAAGAGACTGTTTAAGTACTGCAAAGAATTAAGAAAACACGAACCCCCAAACCTTTTGATGCTAACATTAGAGACAGAAAGGATCCATACCCCAAATTAAATGTAACTCCTCGAAAAGCATCGCTGTGAGTGGCACCAAAACATACCATAGTTACAATCTTCAGTATGCCCGTGTCCCTGGTTATAGTCACACTTCCCGAGACACAGCTTTCCTTCCGCAGATAAGATTATCTCAAACAAACTGCACTTTATCTAAATATTTCTAACTTTAAATACTAAAATCTGTTGTCAGCTGCCATTTGTTATATACTTGCATGGCACTAGTGCTCTAATAAAGAGCAAAGTGTCCATGTGCATCACATGGAGTGATGTCTCAAGGCAGCTGTGAAGAGTAACACAAACGTGCAGAACAGTATTTAAAAAAAAAAAAAAAAAAAAGAACCACTGCTCTCTTTTGGAACACAGTGAATTTTAAGCATCTCTGTATTTTAATAGAACAGTTGAGTTATTGATATATACAGAGGAAACCAAAAGTTTGGCACTTGTTACAACTTGCATTTGTTATTGCATCCTGCACTTCGCATGGCACACACACGTTACCAAAACCCATGCAGGCTGTATGGCCACAGTATTTATAGAACCAACCAGAGAAACTGCAGTTAAAAGAGAAGAAAACAGTCCCCAAACCCCTCACTTCTGTACTTGTGCATTTGCCAGGTTATGTGGGCCCAAGAAATACTGCAAAAGACATGAAGCTGCTTGTTTTTTTTTTTCTGGAAAGGGGAGTTTATGAAGCAAGCCAAGTGCTTCAGTAGCTTTGATGAAAAAAACTCCTATTTTCAGCAAGAACTCCGCTTCAGAAGGTAGACTGTGTGACATGCAAGTTTTGTGCAGTCAAAAGCAAAACAGCCTGCCCACAGTTATTAGTGAGCTGATTTTGTAAATTTGCTTTAGTTTTCAGATTCATCACCATCCTTTTGTGTTAATTTCATATTCATTTGCCTTCTGTTTAAGGATGAAGAACCGTCAAAGCTACGGAAAGTCACCTGACCCAGAAGATCTGAGTTGATACAGCATTTTCACCATAATTAAAAAGGAATAGCTGATAAAAGATCTGAGGGCAGGCAGACCTTGCTGTAGTATAACAAAGCAGAAGACTCTTCAGGACGCCTCTTTTTCAGGTTATAAAAACAGAAAGGATGAGAACTAGAAATCCAACACTGAGTCTTTAGGAACACGAGCATCTCACAGGGCCAGATAAGAAACAGAGACCAGGGAGGTGTGTGCCTCCCTAAAAAAAACCCAAGAGATTTATTTTATGAGAGCAACTGCACTTTACACCTTTGCTTCTGTTGTCACTCCTTCTGCGTGCAGAGCAGCCACAAGACTACTCGCATAAAACAAGTGCTGAGGACGCTGTTGTGTGCTTAGAGCATTCTCTCTTCTCCACTTGTTCACTCGAAGTTTTGATTTTACCTTTAAATTAGCAATTCCAGAGTTTTTCCAAAAATAAGTTGTGGCACATGGAAAAAGGAAAAGAAAACTTGAGGTGGAGTGAGGGGAGCAAAGTCACCACTATTCCCATTTTCCACAACCCCTACCCCATATTTGGCAATTTTCTCATTGCAATAGCTGGGGTTTGGCCAATTCTACAGCAAGGGAAAGGAAAGGACACAGAGGCCCACCCCAAGTCTCTCAAGCCTGCAACGTGACCCAGCCAGTCCTTGTCTGGGATTGTGCTGAGCTTGACTCAAGATGCAGCTACCTCAGACCTGCACCCAAGGACCCAGCCCCGATCCGAGGTGTGGGGGGCAACAAGTCGTCAGCACTCTTCAGCAATACAGACACTGGTCTCAAAACATCAGCATTTCAGTGCTGTGATGGACTCGCAACCCCAGCAAGGCACCCGAGTTCGGTAAATCTGTAAGGAAGGTGCCTACAAAAGCCTGATGCTTGGAAGCCAGTAGGTGGCACAGACAGCTGGCTAAGAAAATCATTCAAAAAGTCACCTGTGAGGGGACTGACTGAATTTTAGTGCCAATTCACAAGCTGGAAGGAATTAAAGCTACTGTGCCAAGCAAGGACAACTTAAACAAGTTTCTAAACTGCCAAACAACCTAAACCCTCTGGATTGCAAACTGAGAAAATTCCCGAGTTGCCTCCCCTGTGGTTTAGCCAGCATACACAGGGGTGAGCAGCCGTGGGGCAAGCAGGGACACCTGAGGTGCTGGCATGCACCAGTGAACCCAGGACAATCAATCCATGTCTGCATGTTCAACACTCAGGGAATCGGTGACCTTTCTCCTTTCAGCACCTCTGGTATCAAAGCCTCCCTCCTCTACTGAAACCAACCACCCTTCTCCAGAAAAGCCAGAGGTCAGCTATCCCTGTGCAATCAGAGTCTGCCTGCAGAAAGGAGAGCTTTGCCTTCAAAACCTTGCTCCAAACTGGGAGGCAATCAAACCTGGCTATTGCACATCCCAAGAGATGCACTCGTCACCCAGCCTGCAGATCAGAACTAGACAGAGACAGGGCAGCCCCGGAAAGATGTGCTCCTTCCCTCCTACACACACACAGAGGCTACAGCATCTCCTGGACTGGCCCCACAGACAATGCAGGTGAGCGATGATCCCCATCCCCTTGAAGCAAGGCCAAGGAAGCCAGTTTTGAGATCTCAGAAGTGCCTAAAAATCTTCAGCTCGAGCATGCATCCAAAACTCCAGGAGACTTGGTCCCTGGCCGCCAACCACGCAGGGAGTGACAGGAGTACCCACGCCCTAAGGAATTAAGTTTGTAACTGTTTCGGGTGAAGAGGCTTAAACTTCTTGGGCAAATCTCACCAAGTGCATTTGCAACACACCAATTACCAACAGATTTGTTTTATTTATATTTAAAAATAAAAAAACACCCTACCGTTAATCCTACTTTAAGTGTAAACATTTGGTTCAGTAACTTTAACTGCAAAACACTGCTAGAGTATATACAATTTGGATTTATTATGTGCATTTATTACTTAGGTTTTCTGGATGCTGAATGCCCTCAAGTGTACTGGAAAGCTACAGGGACTCAAGAGATAGCAGCCTGCAATATTCTGAGTAATATTTTCAAAAATTTTCTAAGCCACTTAGAAAACTGAGCTCAAAAGTGAAATAGATATTTAGGAACATTCATCACTTTTGAATATGGGATCTTGGCACTTTGTCTAAGAAAAAAAATTGAACAATGTAGTATTTTTTCAAAAAAGGGAAATTTTACAAATGAACTAACAGCACTTGATTTATATCACAAGACAGCCAAGGGTGGAAATAGCAGTTCACATTTCTGAAGTAAAGCATTATATATAAATTTAAAATCTAAAGACATATATACACACACACACACACACACACACACACACACCAAGTTTACTGCAATGCATAAATATATAAACTTTTGATATGCCAACTAATATAGGTCAGAAAATTGATGTATATAGTTCAAGTTTTGCAGCACTTCAGCATTGTAAAAAATAAAAAAAATTAATAAATAATGGTCAATGGATTGGCTGCTGCCCTCTCTTCCCACCTCTTTGCTCAGAATCAGTAATTCCAACCACATGTCAGCACTATGGAAGGACTGAGCAGAAGTAAGTTTCAGAACATCTCTTCAAGGAATATTTTGTGAAATACAACTGTTTTGTACCAATTTGGGATTATATTTCAGCATACCTAAGATGATTCAAGAAAGATAACGAAGGTTTACACTAACACAGCTGAGGGCAGAGATCGGCTTGTCTGAGGTCCACGAAGTTGCAGAGTGGAAAGTACTGTATGTAGTTATAATACTGGTTATACAGAGTCTCGTTTTCTGAAGGGTAGGAGGTTTTATTTCTATTTCCATCTCTCTCATTTTATTATTTTTAAATAAATACAGGTTACGTCCCACCCATCACAATAATGAAATCAAAAACTGAGGTAAAAGTGTTCTACCAGCTGATCCTGACTATGAATAGAAGTCAATTAAATATCACTATTGATATGAACAAGACTTAGTAAGAAATAAAATGCAAGATACTAAATTCTTCACTATAACCACACCATAAAACCCAGCTTTCCAAGTCAGACAGTAGTAAACAAGACTGTACCTTAGCATGGAAATCATTAAGTAAACCAACTTTTGATCCCAAATTAAAGTCGCTGTACAAATTTTCCTTAACTCTTAGTCCAAAAATCATAGTTTCTGTAAAACAAATGTGTCCTTGGCATATTTCACCTTTGTTCTAACAGAGATAAAAACACACCCTTCTATAACCCTCTTAAAAACCATTCTTAGTTTGCAACCAATCTGAATTAAAAAGGAACGCAACCTATTTTCTTTAACTTGTCAAGTTTTGTTGTCTTTTACCAAAAGCAGCAATCATCATTAACCATTCCAAACACTGTTTCCTATTTTACTTCAAGGAAACAGCCACCAAAGCCCACACAGAAACGCACGGCACCGATCTGTACACCAGTTCATCAGGCTAGTCAAATGACAGCGTAGAAAAAACAGTTTACTTCTCTGTAGTATACTGTATCCATTTCAGATTAGTCCGTTTTAAATATATTAAAAATATTTGTAGGAATGAAAACATCGCAAATGAATGAAAAACCATATGTACACACCTCCACCATTTTTTAGGCACAGACCTTAACTTTTGAGGAAGGACTAGAAATAAAAGGTGCAACAACCAACATCTCCTACGGCATTATGGTCAAACAGTCTTTGCAGTATACCAGGGAGGTTGGTTATCATATAGCTTCTGTATATTATAGCTATCCAGTCCAAGATAGCACATTTATTCTTATCAGTTCCCCTCAGGGGAAACGCATCTTAAAATCTTTTTTGCTTTTCAATAAACTTCGACAAAGGAATACCGATTCCCAGTTTCAGACACCAAAAACCTCCTTCAATAACATGGTTTAAACTCCAAATGGCTACGACTGAAGGTGTTTCCTTGAATCCCCCCTTTTATTTTCCCCCCCTCTCTTCTTTTTAATGTATACTTAAGTTATTTGTTCCCGAAACAAGAACTGAGACTCAAGCTTTTTAAGCATTTAAAACAAAAACAGTTACCATACCAAAGCACAGCATACAGTGTAAGTTTCAGCTGTAATTTCTCAGCTTTTCCTTTATATAGAGCTATATTATGGTGGACTGCGCAGAATTCTTCCAGTCTCCTCCACTGTCAGCACAGAGATCACGGAGAAGGTACGCGAATGCGGAATAATCCTTGTTGAAGCTGCAGTCGGAAGAGCTTGCAGTTTGCGATACGCAAAGCTGCACAGCCAGTACGGCGAAGGTCCGAGGGAAAGAGTGGCTTAGTGCGCTGCCAAGTTCCCGTGCTTCTTTTAAATTCTCTAACATAGTCATAATTTGTACCTGAATTCACAGATGCACAAAAGGAAAAGAAAAAAAGCTTAAAACACACTGTAGCTAGAACCACATTTAACCTATAGATTAAAATAATAAGGCAAATATGTGAACAAGAGCATGCACAGAAACACAAATCAATTTCTGGATGTATGGCTGAAATTATTATCAAGAGGAAACTACTTCTTACCTACTTAAACCCACTACATTTGACATTTGGCCTGTCATATTTTTAGAAAGCCCTGTCACACACACGTGTGTACACATGGCCATGAAAGCATGCAGTCTTCCTAATGTTTTTTACAGTATATGGCCATATGCCGAAAGCTGAGTACTGAATACATTTAATACATATTTATTTGGTTGTGATTTAGAGTCAAGAACCACTGTCACATCCATATGAATCACTGGACAATGTCCCCTAAATTCAGAACCACCTGGTTACCACTGCAAAGATAGGAGAAACAACCTCAGGCACTTCTCATATTTAGACAAAAGCAGTAACATACTCTTAGTCTTGATCTCTTCTGATCTCCAAACTGCTAATCAACCAAATGCTTGTAACACTGAATCTGTTTCTGAAGATCTCCGATGCACAAAACCAGCGTTTCTGTATGTCCAGCCTAATTGCCCTGAAGACAACAGTAACTTAACCCCAGAACGTAGCCCCAGACTTTTATTCTAAAAAAATTCCCTCTCATTAGTACCATGTATTTAAAAGACTGGGAAAAGACAAACAGGAGGTTATTAGTTCTGATCCTGACCTGTATCGAGATCTCCAATCACATATATGCTGGCTCCAATGGGCACAGCTCCATACACAAATGAAGAACTCGTTGGGATACATAGGTTCTGGTCATTTAGATAAATCCACCTGTAAAAATAATAATTGAAAAAAACAGTACACAATTTTTATCGAGCACATTAAAAGAATTTCAGGTTCTTATTGCAAGTTCCATCTTTGAATCAAAAGCAGATTGTACAAGTTAATTTGTTACGTAAAAACTGTTGGGAACATTGCCTAGTTCAGGACAGTCTTGGGTTTTCCTAGCCAGGAAAACCTTGGGAAGCTGGGGATACTTTATCCTGAATTTATTCAGAACTGCTCCACTCATCTGTGTAATCTATCTGAAATAAATTGTTCTTGCAGCCACGCAGCGTGACCTTCTGGAAGAGAGCAGGCATCTAAGAGCCTCATCTACGACAGCTATACCAGTCAATTTTCCCTACAGAGAAAATTTTAGGCAGCTTTGTCTTAAAATCAGTAGCATCATAAAAGCATGTAAGCCTTAATAATTTGCACTAGGGGAAATAACAAATTGCTATATAGCAAGGCCTCGTTATTAAGCAGTGCCTTCCCCCGCATAATTCCCTAATTTCTTTAATTGCACTTTATCAGTGACAGGAAATCCCCAGGCCAGTAAGAATAACGCAGCACTTGGCAATGCTTAACTTTAAACAAGGGACAGATGACAAAAAAATCAAAATGGTAAGGGATTTTGGGAAAGAAAAGAAGTGTCCAGTACCTGGAACTGAAACAGATCTTCCCAATCATGTAACAGGCTCTTTTCAATCACTTTCTAGCTCCTGTGATAATCTTACAAGTCCCCTATGTTCACTTCAAGTGTATTCTTATTTCAACACTACATCAGCCTCATCTTTCTACTAAGTAAAAAGCAGTTTTCCATGCTGGAGCCTTTGGGAACCAGGTAAGTATGTAGTCATCACCCACAGAGGACACTACCTTGTAAAGATGTCCCATTTATCTAGAGCCATCGGCATCCTCTCTATGGTTCTGAACTAAATTTCTACAAAATGCTGCTGCATTTCCACAGATGCTGTCGCAGTTACTATTTATAGACCCTGAAGACAGAGATCACTGCTATTTTAGGTGACTGCTCCTAGATTTTTTATTAAATAATTTACAGAGAACAGGAAAGTTTGAAAAGCCTTTGAAAAGCATCCTATGCATTTTCATGGCCATACCTTGTTAATTTGAGGGAAAATGATAGGAAATATCCTCACAAATACTGCTGACCTTTAAAAATCCTGCATTATCTTAACTCATGATTCAGAAGTGAGACTCTCTTCTGGCACTGAAGGACAGGCTGCTACATACCCATTATCTTGGAGAGATCAATTTTTAAAGCCCAAATGCAAGCATTAGCTATCCATTATCGTGTCTATGTGTGCTGTACACTGAAGAGTTAAAATTCAGCAGAAAGCAAGGAAATGGTTTGTAGCTGTCACAGAGGAGGACAGATGAACTGAGAATAGAGAAAAGAAGTCCTCTACACTGATTCAGAAATGAAGTTACAGAGCAGAATACCTTTCACCATATTTCATTCCTTTCCTTACTGGGAAGTCAGTATTTTTGCTACTTTTTAGCGCTGTTACCTAGAATTATGAAAATTGAGTAAGTGGCAGAGAAATGCAAGAGGAAGGCTACAATGTCGTTTTTATTTTTTAAACAGTAAATATAGGACCATGTGGAAGAAGGGAAAAAACAGAATTAGAGTTTGATCTAGCTACTGATTAAGTCTGAGCTTGGAAAAACCATGTGAACTTCAGGGGTTTGTCTGCACTAAATATTCAAGGTTTTGGGGTTTAAATAAAAAACCCCTCACAACAGTGTGGGACCCAAGCATCTTCGTACTGCACATCAACAAAAGACAATATTAAAGTATCTGTAGTTGCTTGTGTTGAGAAAGGTTGATAATGAATTTTCACATACACTTTAAAAAACAAGCAAAACTTTTCAGGAACGCTTACAGCAGCTTTAGCAGTTAAAACTAGGAAGGAACAAAGACAGGAAGGGCAAGGGGTCATGTTTCATCAGAATTTGACTAAGCTCCAGCTTAATATGGGTTGTGCCTGCTGTTTGATCAGTATGGAAAAAAACACCATAACAAAAAACTCACAATCTTCAGGAATTTGAAAACACTCCTCGGAACATAGCTCTTGCGTACTTCCCTGGGCTGGCTCTACTCAAACTGCATCCGAGAGGAGCAGGGGAGAAGGCATGTACCTCTGTAACCACAGACAGAAATGACTGCTCTGAAACATGCTTCCATTCAAATTAAAAAAAAAGGGGAAGGAATCCAGATTATTTTTTTTTCAGCCTTAAAGCGATATAAACAACAAAAAAATATCTATCCACAGTGCTGTAATTAATAAGCAGGATGGCAACGGTTTTATTTCGAAGTGGGAAATAAACAGAGATGCGATAGAGAGCCAACATGTTCCAAACACGTCACCTCACCAGCTGTGAAAGGAAGCCTACAAATGAATGAACATCTCTGTGTTCCTCTCATCTGACAGTGCTATCAGTCAGCCAGTTAGTTTTCTCATTATATTTGCATAAGCACTTTCTTTTAATGAAATTCCTGTACACTGAATGGGAGAATCTTCCTAACTACACATGCTGTGTTACAAGATTATTTAGTTTACCTGTTACATATTGCTGAAAGTATTTCCTTATTTTTACCATGTTCCAGTAGCAAAAATAATGTTTTTAAGGAGTTTTTACCAAGTACTGCTTCTGAACAAGTATCTCTCACTTCTACCTCCCTCAATACCTGTAAATTTTGATAATGCTTTTGAACCAGAAGCTTGTGAAAAGAAGGAAGAAAGCCTACCCCACTTACAGACCACAGTGAAAGGCAGCAGTGGTTATACTCAAGGACAGAGCTCCACCAGCAGCTCTTGCAAAGAATCCTAAAGCCAGTTTGTTCTCTATTAAATATTTGTGAATATCCACACTGATAAGAAAAGAAAACCCAGTGCGTACAGACATCCAGCTCTCCACACACCTACACGATGCAGAAAGGCATATTATAAGTTATGAACTCTGGCAGAAGACAGACCCATCAAGGTCTTTAATATGTAGTTAAGATTTCTTGCTTTTTATGGAGTAGACCAACACTGGATCATTGAGTGAAGCATATCCTTACACCTCCATCTCCCATTTTCACATTTTTATAAAAAGAATCTATTTTTAGCTTGATCAATATTTTAAAAAACAGGATGCAATGTACACAAAGCTCAATCTATAGCCTTTGGGAAAAAAAAAAAAAAATCTACATCCTGAAAAAACCTGCAGTCTGACGTGTATATTTTCTATCCTCAGTTCACTTAAATTCACTCATGCACATGACTAAGGCTGACAAATATTAACTGAAAAAACTCAGTTACAGAAGTACTTTAAATATGAGAATTATTTTCCACATTATCCTGTCCACATTTCATGCATATGCTAGTATTCTGTCTCACTTCATTTATTTTATTACTTGTTTTTACAGTATAGCTTAACAGGAGTCTCAATGTTTGGTTTTTTTTTTTGCTAGTGTGAAGATCTCAGCATATCCCTAGTCTTTAGAAAAGTCTGCGTCAGAGTTAAGAGTAAGTTTTGAAAGACTGTGCTGTGAGTTCTGGAGTGAGCTACTGTCAAAGTAAGAAATATTAAGTAAATTAATCTTAAGCCCTTTAAACCAATTCAAGCCAAAATTATGCCAGTTTATATGAATTAATATGTTTATATACTGGTATAAGTACATACTTTGACACATATATTAAGTAAAACCTGTAACTCAGATCCTCGTGGACTCTGGATGCTGAGGATGATGCTAGATCCTGTACTCTCGGGCAATGAGAACTAAGGCACATACGAGAAATGACGCAGATCATCCACGCGTGCACCGCTGCACATCACTGTAAACCAACAATATGTGATGGCTGAACTCAGCACAGAAAATTCTTTCCATTCAAACAGAAAGTGAACGTGACAGAGTTCTGCACTTACTTAAAAACAGCTGGGAAAGTCTGTAGCTCATTATGAAGTATGCAATACTGGTATGTAACTTAAAAAATTACTATGAATTTTGGTTTGAGACTGCTAGAATTTAAATGCTGTGCTTTTAACCCACTGCTGCTAAATGATCTTACAAACATTCCTCCTTTCCACAGTCCTCCCTTACCCCAACACGTCTGGACTTCTGTCAGTAACATGCACATACGCTGTCAAGGTGGTATTTCAGCTCTGATAGTTCCAATATTATTCCTTCACTGTAACTACAAAAAGAATACGCACTGTGGAGTCTGAAGGTGCTTATAGCCTTCATGATGACTTTTTGAAGCTGCTCGTTTGAAGGGGACTAATTACCATTATTTGTTTCAGAAATGATTGCTGAGAAAATAAATGCACTTTTCAACTATAAATTGATCACCTTGTAGTAACTGCATAACGTCTGAGATGAAAAATCAGTCTTTGTATATATTACATTAACCATACACTAAGGAACAGAGAGAGGTAACTGCCCACCTGTGGTTAGAATCTGTAGCACCACTTATGCTTTACTCTTGAGTAATGATGCACAGCAGAGCACATGATACCCAGTGCAAGTGGAATTGCTTAACTAAATCAAACACACGTTGCTATTTAGCATAAGGTTTCTATAGACTTAAGAGAAGCACACTAAGCTTTTAACGGCTGGACTAGATGATCTTCAAGGTCTTTTCCAACCCAGATGATTCTGTGATTCTTTCATTCGTTACTCAAAATAAAGGGATTTAGATTTGTTTTCTGTTATTTCTGAATCAGCCCAGGAAATAATACCCTCATGTTTTCCAGAGAGTCAACCTGCCCTCATTTGGTATTCATTTGATATTTGTGAAACACTATTATAATGAAGTTATGATAACTTTTCATATTCAATCTTACTTCAAAGAAGAGTATCAGCCAAGAAAGTATTTTGTCTCAGGATTTGGCAGGAGGAAGCATTTGCTAACTGCATTTTGAAGGGAAGTCCCTTTATGGCTTTTTTCTCTCTTCGCCCCACGGGTACCACTGCTCGGGTCTCACAGGCACTGCCACAGCCACCCTCGAAGGCTCCTCGCCCGCACAGCGCATTCGGGGAACTGTGAGACCCCACGAGCTGGGTGCTGCGACACAGCACAGCAAACCTGCACCCTCTTCTGGCCAGCAACACCCCCTCTGCCTCCCGGGGCTGGGACTGGGGCTTTCCAAAACCCTGAGCAGAGGCACAAACCCCAGCTCTACCAGCACTAGGTGCAGAGGTGGGCATCGTCCTGCTCTTCTGTTTCCAAAGGAAAACACAAAACCTGTGAACAGTCTGCAGCACAAACACAAATTTATGCCGAGTTAAATTTCTAAGCTCAAATTCTGTGCAGTGGCAGAGCAGAAAGGTAAAGTCTGACTATCTCAGCAGCCCTCAACACATGCCTCCTCCGACAACTGGAGGACTACTTGCTGCAGCCTCACCCTCCCCCGTGCCAGCACAGCCCTCTGCCGCACACACAACACACGGGGTGCTAGAACAAGACCCGAAGCAACTGGATTTTTATTAGAACTTGACTTGAATCCTGTAAGACCTCTGGGATGCCACCAAGCAAAGACACCACACACACATTAGAAATACTGCCGGGCAGGCATGTGTGCTGCAGTCAGCAGGTGGCACCAAGGACTCACCTGCAGCACCTAGGCTGGAACCTCCGAGCTTTTTCAAACCCCGCTTTATGAAAGCTCAGTCGCTATCAACCAGTGAAACATGTTTACAGTCGCTGGTGGGGAGTCACGAGCTATTACATATCATCTTTTGAAGAAGATAATCAGCCTGGAAATATGTCAGGCAAATTAACTAAAAATAGCAGGCAGGAGAAAGGGGAACATTTCTTTCCAGGATTCTTTCCCTTTCAAAGACCTCTTGCCAAAAAGTTCATCAACGAGCTATTAGCTTTTTCCCACACCCCTATAGAGCTAGAAAACTCTAGAAAGCAGCAGCAGCAATAGCCTTTCTTATCTGTCTGCTTCCTATAACCACTTTAAAGAGTGTTTTTTCTCCAGTTTCATTTAACTATAGCTAGATTGGACACCACTTTGAACAACACTGAAGACCTCTTCATACAGAAACTGAAGTCTCTTAACACGTACATCTTACAAGAAAATCATATAATGAACTTATATCTACTATTCTTCTTTTGTGCGCTTTTATACAGGTCAGATCATAAACCAGTCTTGACTTGTAATACAGATGTATTTATCTCCTTCACTGTCAGCAAGCCTTGAAACACCTGACCACAAAGTCTTACTTCAATTTAGTTTATAAAAAAGAACATCATCCAATTTATAGTTACATGAAAGAAAAAAAACCACTGAAGGAACTAAAGCTTGCCAGTTATTACTGGAGAATAAGGTTCTCCACAATGTGACTATACACAAAATTCTGTCTAACATAACATTTTGAATAGTTACCACATGTAGGAAAGTGAATTCCAATACCAGAGCCAAGAGATAACCAACAAAGTCATCAGGAGCGGATTCAAAACAAACAAGAGGAGATTAGCCATGCACAATGCACAGTGTGTTGAGGCGGCTGTGGAATGTATAGCATCCACAGTGTCTTTCCTATGGCAAAAGCCTATCTGGCTTCAAAAAGCAATCGGCTGTAAATGCTTGGAACAAAAACGCATGAAATTTCTTATCTCTCACTTAAGAATTTCCTAAGCTGCAAATCCCTGGAGACAGGGCCGGATCCTGAAGAAGCATCCCTGCACACACTTACACTCCCCCATAAGCTCAGAGTAGGGGTGGGGGCGGCAGCACCCTGCACTTGGGGAAACCACAGCGTGCAGGGGAAGAACCAGGCAAACTACCTGGTCAAGCTGATCAAGGTTCAGGGGCACTCAAGACTGCAGGGCAGCCCAGGGCCTTCGGAGTGGTATTTTAGCAGGACAAGCCACTGAAGCAGACAGATGTTTGGCAACAGCCATACTCACTTTACCTTTTGTGATCCAGTAACAGAGAGACATGGCACACACCTAACAAGCTTTGAAGTGCTGGTGCAAGGGAGGTGGGAACAGACAGCTGAGTGTGCAAGGCACGTGTTTTCTATGTTTGTAGCTGTAGCTAGTTACCTTTTAAACTCATCATGATAAAATTCAGATTTGCATGTCACCATCTCGCTGGCTTGACTGTCATCACGACTCCTAACTCCGCCAAACACATAAAGTTCAGAGGCAACTCCACAGGCTACTGCCCCAAATCTGAGAATACAAATAAGAAAAAAAAAAAAGCACAACATATCAAAACCATTTCATATACCCTTCCGAACTTTCTCTATTTTTCAACCTTTTTTCTTTTATATAAGCACACATGCACCTTATATGTTCAACAAGATTAGATGAGCCATGAATATGAATTGTAAGCACTTAATTCAGACCATGTAAAACAACCAGAAAAGTATTTATCTCTAGTCAAAATGTGAAGTTCCAATGGAACTACAATTTCTGGTTTTCATTTTGCATCGGGGTAGTGTTAACTGTAACATCAGGAGGGTAATTCCACAAAATTCGTATTTATTGCTTGGATGCTTATCTTTACTCAACAGCAGGCCACCACAATTCAGAAAGACATGGTGAAATTCATAGGGCTTCTGACAGCTATCTTCAGGGATTCATCAGAGAAAGGACAATTTCCTCTCATCAGCGTGTTAAAAAAGGTTGTACACAGAAATCTAGTTCCACCCTTCCATTTTCACTCACCTTCTCTCTTTCAGAGGACAGATTGCTGTCCACTGCTGAGTCCTAGGGTCATAACACTCAACAGATTCAAAAAGTTTTCCGTAGGAGCCTCCGCCCATTGCATAGATTTTCTTCTTCATAGCTGCATAGCAGCCAATCTTGTGGAAAAAAGAAAAAGTAAATCTAAAATTACACACAAATGCACAGTATCGAGAGCTCAAAACTAGATAAACACACGGGCACACACATACATGTATTTGGGTTGCCTGTACCTCACGTCAAACAACGCTGTGCATAGAATTCTCACTGTTTTGTTTTGGTATACAAAGAAGCTGCTCTCATTTCATTATGAGACTACATGTTATAGCTTCTACTTGAAGCAAAAGGTTGAAAAAAAATATATATAGGCATTAACTATTTACCAATAAGTCATGTGATAAAATCTGATGTAGTTCTTACCTTCCTAACCATGGTCAAGTCTGGCTGCTTGGTCCAGGTCCTGCTATAAATATCATAGCTCTCCATAGAGATCAGCTCCCTTTCACCGTCCTCACCTCCCAGGATATACAGAATTCCATCAATCTCTACCACACCAAAATTATGTCGTGCCTAAGGAATATCAATAAAGTCAACACTGCAAAACATAACTGCCATTATGAATAAATCAATACAATATTTTTTCCAGCATATCTGTCTGCAAAGTGATACTGATATTATACCTGGGTTTTGGTTTGGTTTGTTTTTTAAATGAAGCCCTAAACTCCAGAAGATGATTATTAATTTATTCAACTAAACAAAACAAAGGGTATTCAAAAAAGACAGTGCAGCAAAAGCCAGTGAGAATGCACAGAAATCTAAGAACAGAGCTTGGAAATGCAGAGAAATCTAAGAAGAGAGCTTGGACACATTTCAGTTTGCATAGCAGGGGTCTCTAGGATAAAGCTGTTGCTTTCAGGTCTCTACAGCAGTAGAACTCAGCCCTATTATCTGTGAAAAGGCAGCTCTTCTATTTTGTATGTAGGACCACAGCTACCTTCAGCCTCACAGTAAACATAATATATTGTGAAGTCTAACTCATAATAAGAAGGAAACTTAATGCATCATAAATACAAATGCGGCCAAAACTACAGGCCTTTGCCAACCAGAGTCTGTAATGAGGACAATTCTGTGGCAAAGAACAATTTCTTAATAAACACCCTATGCTGATTTAAGAAGATAAAAGCATGGGTGTATTAAGGATATATGTTTACAAGCAATAAATTGTTACTTTTTGATGATGCAAATATGAAGGAGGAAACATTAACTCAAACCAAACCTAAATATGTCTGTGCAAGCCGAGTTCTCTGTTGGCCAGTCCTCTGCCCATCTTTTCTGCACAGTCTGATCCCTTTGTTGACTTAAGAGTTCTCTTGGTTTATAATGTCAGTATATACAGAATGTTAAGTATACTATATGACTGATCCACTATGAAATTCCGGAAATTTTGTAGTTCATCTTTACAGCTAGCTCTTCACTAATTGTTTAGTTTTCCCAGATCCTGCAGTCAGTATTGGACCACAAGTATAACAATAGGATATAAACAAAAGTCAGCCTGCAGCATGATTTTGAGTGTGTAGGATGCAAGTGACTGGAGATTCAGAATAAAATTTTGCAGAAGAAAAGGAACATTTTGCCAAGGTAAAAACTTAAAACCCAACAGTTAGACAGTGGTCTTGCCTCATTCATTGGTGGTAAGGAACTCCATGAATTGGTATCTGGATCATACTTCTCTCCAGAGCTTAGTGTTCCCTTGTTTTCATCCTGACCACCAAGCACAAATAAAAATCCTTCTGTAAAACAAAAGTGTAACACGGTCTTAAAAACAGGTCTCACACCTGTACACTGAGCAAGACAATGTGACCGGTGAGCTGTATCCTGGAATTCACAAAGAGGTTCAGACCAGTCACAGGTCAAACTCTGGACTGGAAAAGGTAAAACACATATTTATATCTGGACTCAAGTCTACTTCTACAGATACTTTTCAATATATTCAGTGATGCAGCAACTAGAATTTATCTAAAACATTAAATACACCTGGAGACAGATGCAGCAGATTCCCACAAACTGTTGTGGGAATAGTGATTTTAAGACACTCAGATGACAGGGATTTTCACAGAATCAAGTTATGTTTTGGGCAGACAAAGGGGAAGCATGAAATAACCCCAGTGCAGTCAGTCTTTAAGAAAAAAAATATTATTATAAGCTGTATCTCAGATTTTGAGGCACTGGTAAGTTTTCATAATATTGACTTTACAAATACAAAGTTCCCCTTTACCTGCTGACAATACTCCATGATTGATCCTTGGAATACTCATAGGAGCAAGTTCAATCCAGAGCTGTCTATTGGGATCATAAAGAGGACACATACACCGCATCACTGAGGTTGGTTTCCGTGATCTGAACACAAGGTGGGGAGGGAACAAACAAAAACAGAAAGACAAGACAGAGTTTTACAAGTTCACCGTTAACAGCTTGTGTCCAAAGTTTGCTTTTTCCTGTTTTAATATATATTCATAAACTGTAGCATTTCCCTGGTAAGGAGAAAACCCCCAAACCAAATGTGTGTAAATTGAATTTTGTACAGCCTGGAGACATAAAAAGCAGGTGCACCTCGTTCACACTGTACCGGTCTGTAACATTTTTTTTATGAAGGAACTTTGAACAAACTAAAAAGAACTGATAGGGAGTTATTAGTAATGTCCGAGTAAAGCAGTCCAAGCAATCCACAAACTGAGGTGCAAAATGCTATTTGAGTATTTTATTACACTTCTATAAAGAGCAAACATTTAAGTGCTAAACTTATTTAAAAAGGACAAAACCCTCCCTCTACTGCAGGGGATATTCCAGAAAAACAAAATAGGACTATTGTGGGGAACAGGAATTTTCACGTGGCATCTCAGATGCACCAATAATGACTTTTTTTTGAATCCCAGCCATGATAAACAAAACACTTAAAGCATGCGTTCATTATTTTTAAGATTTATTACAGATGCTTTTCTGATTTCTCCAACATTCTGTGCTTGAGCAACATCTATTCAGTTTAAGAAAAAAAAAAAACCAACAACAACAAAACCCCAGCCAATGCTTACTGAACAAACAACACGTCTTACTCTAGTCTAGTACATGGTAAATGTCAGAAAATTATCACAAAATAGCTATTTATTGCTGAATCATTCACAAAGGTATTTTAGGTGTGCCTGACCAACTTAAAAAGAACCCCAAATGAAAGAGTAATAAGCCCATTAGGTGCTCATATTCTCTCCACGCTGTGTTTTTAGACGTGCCATGCGTGCTAGACCCCTGTATTTTACTAACTGTGACAACCTGCAATGCCACTTCATACTTACACTCGTTCTTCTCCACCGACAGTCACTATACACTCCGAGTAACCCCGGGGCTTGAAGGAGGCCAGCATGGCCTCTCCCTGCTGCGGCGGCGTGAGGGGAATATTGTTGCATTCTTTGACGATCTCCCGTACCAGCGGTTCGCTCATCATCTGCTCACGTAAATATGCTGCATCTAAGCCCGAAACCCACACTGCTGACATGACATCCTTCATGTGAACCTACAGGAAGAGATAAACGCCTGAAAATCCCCCAGACTTCACAGAACAGCAGTAAGGCACTTGTATGACGATGCTTCTGTATTTATCAAAAACTTACAAGAGTGTTTTTGGTATGTGGAAGTAGCAATAAAATCTACAACATGTAATATTACTAAGAAAATGCATCTGGTCTTCAAAGTTTCACTATTAATGTGCTGCTTGCTTTCTCTCTACAACAACATTATAGCAACAAATGCCAAAAAGGTACATTCCTCCCCTAATGCCTATTAAATAATAGAGAGAGATGATATACCATCAATACATCACTGCTGACAGCACTTCAGGCAAAATTCAACTAATTCTGTAAATGCAAGATTAGCCCTGAAAGAAATGTATCTATTTTAAGCTCCCACCAATGAGAATAAACACACTGGTTTGGATCCCATTCAAAATACAAACATTTTGATGTCCTGACCTTTCTCGATTCTGAATCATGAGAAATCCACCTAATCACTGCTTCAAAGACGTATCTTTCGTTTCCAACATTGAGCTTTTCCATTGACAGCACTTCTTTCAGTTTTTGAGGAGTCAGTTCCAAGAATTCCTCTGTGCTGCTGACATCTCGAAAGTGAGTTTCCAGATACTCTGAGGCAAGGTAGTGAACATGATGCAAACAATAGTGCAGTGCAAAGTCCCGAATACCAATACAGTTCTCAGCAGCTATGCAACCTTCTAAAAACTCACAGCAGAGAGTTTTTAAGTCTGTAAGCAGCAGGAGATCAGCTGCCTGTACCACATCTTGGATAGTTTCTTCATTTAGCCTGATCTGCAAGAATTAATTTAGAAGTTATAGCTACTACCACTCATTTGTTTCACGACATGCCCGCATTCATTACACTCATTCTCAGTGGCTGAAAAATGGATTATTAATGACAGTGTAAAAATTACACAAAATTGATATGACTACTACCCGCTTATAAATTAACACAGGGATGGAAAGGCATTTGCTTGACAGAAGGCATCAAGCAAAATTTTGTGCCTGAAGGAACCATGAAATTGCTCATCTAATTTGAGAACCTAAAATGAATTTTGCTGCAATTAGTAATTTTTTTAAATGCATGTCCAGAAGAGAATTTCAAGCCATATCTGCTTTTTCGTTTTCTGCTGAAAGTTACACTTGTTCATGATCTCCGTCTCATTGTGAATAAACTGGACACACCAACTTGAATTTCTGCTCAGGCTACTGGCACAAAGATCTGAAGGGGCGTGCTCTCAGCAACAAGGGGCCGGAGAGGCAGGCATGAGGGTCAGGAAGGGAGGATGCCTGATGTACTGTTATGTTCAGTGATGGGGTCTCAATCTCTGTTGCTGTCAATTCAGTTCTCTTTTACAGCTGTCAAAGACTGCATGTTTTAAAGCAGGTTACTGAAAGTAGCCACAAATTTTAATAAAAGCATCTGATGTGACTCTTTTTAGAGTCTTTCCCATGGCATGAGAAGAGCAGAGACAACTCCTACTACCTCTACTTCACATGCACAGCACCAGTTTGATAGAACACTGTGGAAGTTCTATGACAAAGCTTTAAACCTTTATAAGTTTATCTTTCAGGATAACACTGTCAAAACCCAGGTTATTTTAGCAAATAATTCAATTTCTGTCTATTTTTTTTTAATACCATACCTGCCCACTGAAGATGTAATCTAGTATCTCTTTCATGATATCAACAGATATCCCTTCAAGTTCAATCTTGTATGTTGAGCCATCATCCTTTGGAGGATTATAATTCAGTTTTGTTCTAAGAGAGGAGAAAAAAAAAAAAAGTTTATGACCTGGGCATTGCTAGCTCTGTTTCCTGATGAAAGAAGTGCTAGCTATGGGTCACTTCAGCTCTAACAGAGATGTTAAAATCTTACAAGATCATTTGAAAATTGTCTTTCTTGAATTAGCATGAAAAAGATGCTTGCATGGTCTCTATCATCACATATCCAAAAAGAACAAATACATTAGTTTTCCAAACTACCCACGGCATCAAAGAGCCAAAGTAATTTTTTCACAGCTCACATCACAAATATTCAAAAACTTCACTCAACTTCAAAGAGAAGAGCAGCTCTGCTGACACATGAAACATAAGAATCTGCTTCAATAAAGGTGGGAAAAGAAACCAAAACCAAATCACTTTACCAAGAAAAATTAGTGAGCAGATGTGATCAGAATATACACTGACAGCACAAATATTTGGACTGCATTACCATTCTGTGTAGTTTATGTCATCAGCCTAATGCTGTGCCTGGCTGTAACTGAACTGTGAACTCACAATTGTATGAAACAGCCCATGTGCTGCTCAGCCAAGCTCTAAATATTCATCTACATCAGTGGATGCTTCACTTATGAGCAATTTCTGTAAAAATACCAGGAGCAGTTTGATGTGCCTTTGAATAGAATGGGGAGGGACTGGGGGAAAAGATGAGAAAATAATAATAATAATACAGCAGACAGCTTTGATTTCTATCATCAGTGCAAACACTTTTTCCAGGAAAGACAACTATAAGTCTTCAAAAGGGAGCAGTGTCCATCAGTCTAGTGAAAACAGCCACAAGAGGTAAAGAAGATCATTCCAAACACCTTTTTTCCGTGCTTCAGGCAATGAAGAATATATTATAGAAAGGTCAGAAACTTGTTTCCCTACCTCTGTGTGTGTATATATGTCTACATCTATATCACAGCACCTTAAAATTAAAGCCTTAAAACCAGTTTTATATTCATTCGAATATATTCTTAGATAGAATTAGTTTCTTAATGTGAAAAGCTGTGGCTTTGCTAAGCTCAGAGTGTCCAGCTTGCTGCAGTCTTCCGCTATCCACACTCATACTAAATGAATACATAAACAGGACTTGGCTAAGGGCAGGTTCTGCTTCACTTAGTCATATCGGAATAAATTAGTTTCTCACAAAATAAGTGTAACTCTCATCAAATAAAACCCTAGTCTATATGGAGCTATTTTAAAGTGTGAATAAGGATGGTAATTTTAGCCCTGAAGTTACTCATATTTGTGGTCTTGTTTTCACATCGCTTCTCTACGCTGCAAGAGCCCCACTGCCAGCGAGCAGAACGCCCCGGGAGGTAACACTGCTCTGGTGCCAACATACGGCTGTGAGAGGTCAAAGCCAAGCTGCTGCCCTCTGTGTCTGCACAGCACCTAGCACAAGTTAGGATACAAACGCCACCACCAATGTGATATGGATTAGGAAATTGTTTATTTCCTAACGCTTGGAAGGAGATTAGAAAAATTAAGCCTGTTCCGCATGAGACTCCCATAAAGCGTGTGCTGCAATAGCAGACATTGATTTGCAACTCGTCAGCTGAAAATACATCTCTGAATGATGTATTATGTATTAATGACTGAATATACATCTCGAGTGGTATCGTGTAACACACATCGCAACTTCCACCACCCTTGCCCATGCGGAACGTGCATTTTTCATGCTTGCGAGCTCCAAACAAATGAAAAAGCACACGCACACAGAGTAACACCTATTTTCAACTCTAACACAGTGCCAAGGCTTCTTTATACACATTTTCAAATCCATTCAAACTACCTCAATTCCGCCAACTCCGCTCAAGTTTTGGGATTCTTGTCTTGTTTCCTGGGATGAAACTCTTGTTTTCTTTTACATTTAACATAAAATGTAACAAGATTTGCAGCATTTGGCTTCCTTCACCAGAAAAGAGAGTCAGATGGTACCTGGATCACACCCGCATCAGGCACCTATCAGTAGTAGCTGGCATGGTCAGATACACAGCAGTATCTACACAGAATCTGGGGAGTCCTACACACTGTGGGGCTTATATGCAAGGCATATAATAAACAGATTGCATGCCAGCACTAATGGGGAGATTAGGGAAAGGACTAGTGCTATTTATCACTAACTTTCATCTTCGCATCACCTGTACACACCCAACCTAAATCACCTCACTGCACGGACTTTACTCTGACACCTCCTGGTAACAAGAAAGTGTTGTTCGGAGGTTTTGAGTCTTATCAGGCTAGATGTTCTCATTGCTGTGTGTTTTTTTCAGGCATCAGCACAGGTTAACCTGAAACAAACCAGCCACTGATGCAAGCCCAAAACACAAACTCAAAGCAGAAAAGATAACCTTGAGAACAAATCGACTGATTTCAAAGTTACAGATACTCGGTATGTAGGCAAACAATCACCTTATGTAAACGCATCCCAGTTCAGACTAAGCTTTCTTCCTGCAACCTGTCCTGAGAAGCACCTATGTGTAACACAATTTTAACTTGTCAGTTAACAAACTTACTAGGTTATTTATTTTGATACAAGCATTTCTGAGCTATGGCACGAGAAGCATTCCCAAAGGGCAGCTGGAGGTACTCCTTGTCGCTCATGTCAAGCGCTGCAGGACCGGCTGTTGGGAAGAGGGGATGGAAAATTGGTGCAAAGACATATTATAACCAGGTTTGGGGCTGGAAAAGTTTTAAGATAGAAAACTGTGAGTCTAATGTGAAGAGAAAGCTGAAGGAAAAGAAAAGGAGGAGGTATGTAAGCAGAGGGCAAGGAGCCACACCTCCTCTTGCATCACTTGCACACACACCTGGCTACCTCACTGAGGTCTAGGCATCCTTGTCGTAACACACACAACAGAATGAGAAAGTTGCAAAACAAATTTGTTCCCAGTTCAGAAAGACAGAGCGGACAGCATGTAGTGAAACATTTAACCCTGGTTCTCTATCCAATTTCACTTCAGAAAAAAATGTTTCTAGCTATGCCTAAACAGAGATTTTTCCAGTCATCAGTATCCCAGGAAGAAGGATGCTTTCCACCATGCCCTTCCCCATGGTGATTTATTCAGCCTATGAGGTGTGTGGCTGAAAGCTGGAAGTGGCAATCAGCAATCCAAGGTGCAGAGATGTGCCCAGCTGCAGCACGGCTGCTTCTAACACATCCATGTGAGATATTCCTACTCTGGACATTTCCAATTACTTTAAAAGCACTCTAAGCTGTCAAACCATGGCAGAAAAGGCTGTCTCTGTCTTCCTTAATTCAGATGAAAGACCAGAACAAGATTTAGAAGGAAATAAACCCCCCCAGCAAACCCATTAGCTAGAAGCAGAGCACAGCTGAGACGCACACAGGGCTGGGGGAAACAAAACAAGGCAACTTCTTCATCCTGTACGTAATTTAATTTTGAGCAGCTTGACTCCAGACATGTTTTTAACCAACTTTTTCCATTTTTTAATTAAGAAGATCATCACTGCAAGTTGAAATTGCTGCCAGTAACATAAACAGTGTTCTGTAAATGCATAACATCCACTCCAACCTCTTGGGCCTGGTCAGGAAAACTGCTTGGCAGATACTACACCTTGAGCAAGCGCCATAAGAACAAGGGGGTTTATGTTGTGTTTTGATGTTGTGGGTCTATGGGACAAATTTAGAATCTGCTCTTCCACATCACTTAAGGAATACAATCCTAATGAGTCATCTCAAATGACACTACATAAGGTAGAATGAGGAAAAAAATTCCAATACCTCTTCTGTGTATGTAAGCAACAATATAAGCAAGATAAATCATTAAAATTTAAGCAAAGGCTTAAGAATAAATGTTAATATTGCTAGGAGTCACAATTCACATTTCATGGTATAAAACAGGTTCAAATAATAATAAAAAACAAAAAAGCAACCATAAAACAATAAACCAACGGATACATTTAAGACTGTCCAGGGCTCTTGTTAAATTTGAGATGGATCTTCCAAATTGCCTCTCATTTTAAAAGAGCAAAACAAAGAAAAACAGAGTCATACTCCCAACGTTACAGTCAAGTCCCTGTGAGAGCACTGTTGTGGGACAGTTAAATTGCAGAAGCACATTAAGGAAGGGTCCATATCTGAAAATTATTTTTCCCACCTTTTATAGTTGATGGTTTACAGGAGAGGGGAATAATAATTTCAAAAAACCAACCAAACAAAACAATAAACAAAATGAAAATCAAAACAAGTAATTTAGTTGCAACCAGCAGCACTTACTTTCCTGAGTCGGACATTAATTCTGAAGGAATATTTTTTATCTTTAAATCCTCTGCCTTATTTGTAAACTTATGAAAAAAATAACTGATGTGCTTCTATAATAGTGACATAAATTATAAAGAGTACAACTCTTGGAATGCTTTAATCCTCAGAGTGCTGGTATATTGGTACTTAAACGGGTGAAGAAAACATCTGTCTGCAAAGACTGCACCTTTTTAAATGAGAATACTCTAGACCACATTCACCTCAAGCAGGTTTATATTTACAGTGAACAGCAGTCAAAAGAATCTGGGAAACAAAAGACAGAGCTTTTGTTTTTGATGCTTTGCAACACAGAAAACTTTTACCTGCTCTCACGTCATCCCACTGCAAACAACAGAGTCTGCTGACCTACTTACACAGCTGTAGCAGGGTGTAAGGAACCAAGCTGCAGGAGACAAGAGGGAAACACTTGTCTTATGAAAGGAGCTGTCCTTAGATTAATGATTTTACTCCGGATTAACCATAAGGGCTAGTCTACACAAGCTTTCCAATATTGCCACACTAGCAAACATTAGTATTAGAGTAGCAAAGCCATCCTTCCAAAGCAGAGAGTAATAAAAGTGGGGTTTGATGATATATCCTTTACCTGCACCAGTCTTTTGGCCTTCTCCAGAGAGCATTAGCATTTTAAAATGAAGTTACACCTCCAATAAATGTTTCCAGTAAAGAATGCACCAAACCCAAAATAGGCTCACAAGGATGACTCCGTCCCAAAAATGACATAAGTACTTAGAGATTTTGCATCAGTAAGGAGAAAACTTTAAAAATTCTGCTTCTGATGCAAACATAAGGTCAATTTAGTCTCCTCCTGATCTGGGCTTCCTTATGTAGGTTTAAGTCTTTCAAGTACAAGCTTTCCATGTGAAATCTAATTAAGTCCTACCTAGGATTGACCATTTTAATGGTGAAGTGTTTTCATTCGTCTGCTTTTATCCCTGCAACATTTTCTCCCATGAAAGCTGGTCTTTCTGCATGCAAAAAACCTTAATAATCACATTATTAAACAGGTCAGACGAAAACATGATGCAGCAGTTCACTCCACCCACTGCCATCCTCCAAAAAGATATTTTACAACCAAATCAGAAGGTTTTCTTTGAGGTCGCACCCTGGCCTTCAGCACCACACATAAAAGACAGTCTTCACCACACCCTGCAAAGGGTGCCAGCTCTCAGAGGATTTTGGCTATGCCTCTTGTATGTCTCTCTTCTTAAGATTATCTGTAACTGCAACTTCAGGTCTCAGGGCAAAGTAGTCCACCTAACAGCCCAACACAAAAACCTGCAGAAGTTGCTTTGCTTGGTTTAGGAGAAACAACTAGGAATAAACTTTCCAACAAGTGAAAAAATTAAGTGAGGCGAAAACATAAGGCTTTGCCCACATACACAAGAAAGAGAACAAAGCAATTTCCTCAGCAGCAGCACAGGGGACATGTGCAGGGCTCACGGGCAATGAAGAGCTTGTTTACCCTGAAAATCTGAAGTTCCTCTAACTACACTGAGCTCATCCAGAGCTAGATTGTAATCTGAATTGGAAATCTACCCTCAACCAACATCTCTTGCCTAAACACGTGAGTTAGCCCTAAGTAGACAGAACACACATTTGATGAACACAGTCCCCAAGAATGGACCCTTGGAGTTTCTCAGCAGCAGCTAAGTACCTGCCGTTTCATTTTACTTGGGCTATTTTTTAGGCTACTTGGAAAACAACCAATCAATTGTATTAGCCGAGCTTACAAACAAGTCAAACACAAGCAGTGCAGATGAGCTGGCTGCTGGGCACCCATGGTTCGTGCCACGCACCTCGTACGCGGCATGAAGCGCCGCGCAGCCTCCTCTATGTGTGTAACCCAGCAGACCTGGGTCAGCAGTTGGCTGTTCAGCTCTTCCCACATGAAGCACAAATCTATTACGTACATTCCTGTATTAGAAGTACCTGCCATTGGACTTAGAAAGACGTTTTTGGTTTGGGTTTGGTTTTTCTTTTTTTTTTTTAAAAAAGTGGGGGGAAAAAAAATAATCTAATCTCTGTTCCTCTACGGGCAGCAGACTATCACACATGGAACACCCATTAGAGCATCTCCTTAAGTAAGTAAATCTGTATCATATTTATGCCACTTTTGTGCTACACGACACTTAAGTTCACTCGCTAAGTAGATGATACATGAGAACTCCAGTGCACATCAGTTGAAAATTTAGTTTTCTACTGAACAGCAGCGTTACACCTACTAGGTCGCAGTTTGGAACTAGGACTTGCTCAGAAAAGCAAAGGAAGGCATTTCTGGAATAGTTTTAAACCAGGGAAGAAACCATATCTTACTTGAAAATCTTCTTGCAAATGAACTCTGCTTTCTAGCTTGTTAAAAATGCTCTTCTAGAAGGCAAAAGTACAGTACCATATCTGTGCTGTTAAACTTACCATTAAATATACTTAAGAAATGCAATGCTGTGTAGCATGTCTCTAGCAATCCAAACATTTCTGTGACTTACTAAAAATCAGTATTTGGAAAACACCAATGAAGCTGCTGAAAAAACTTGTTTTAATTGAGTTTTCATACTTCACTTATCCTTATAGCACATGGGAGAAATAAGCATCAGAGTCGGAGGAAGATTTTCATAATTGCTGGTAAGTATGAAGTCAAATGGGCAAAATTACAAGTGCACGAGTAGCATCGTGGGACAGGTGGAAGTGCTTCTTTGGGAATCCAACTGAGGGAGGCACCAGAACTCTGGGCATGCCAGGAGCTCGAAAATGGAGATCTGCAAGATTATCACAGAAAATGATGACACGGCCAAGAAGAAAAAGGCACCAGGAGCGTGGATTTCATCATCAAAAGAAGGAAAAGCCAAGAGCATAATTCAGAGTACTAACTGTGTCTGTAAACAGTAACAAGAGCTGTACTATACAGTTTAGAGTTGTTCAGGAGATGTAAACCAATGAGCCTGAGGCCATAAACCAGCCACTAACTACGTGGTATTAAGAACGTATTTCCTTGATAGGCAGCAAGCAATTTCAGAGCTCTCCATAAGAGTGATTTTTTTGTTTGTTTTACTGGAAATATGAAGCAGTCATATAGATATAATACAGGAGACAAGTACAAGACTGGAGACACCCCTCTGTATAGATAATGCTATACTGGTAACCAGTATGAGGTCAGAGACAAAGCTTTGAACAATAAATGAAATAAGGAGTCTGAACAGAGAGTGAAGAAACAAATTCTTTAAAACCATTAGTTACTTTTCATATTTGTCTGTCTACACCAGGAAGAAGTTCCTTTTGTAACTGGAGCTGAGATCAATGCAAACAAAACAAGTTCAAAGAAAAAATACAAAAAACCAAAACACAAATCAAGAAGCCCAAACTCATCAACTCCAGCTCTTTCTCCAGACACATAAGCACTTTCAGAACAGCCCTGTTTCATCCACAAAATACATTTTAAAACATGCAAGAAAAGTTATTAATAAAAAAGGTTCTTTTATTAAAAGGAGTTTTGCCAAACAAGGCAATTAATGCAGGTGTAAAGGCAACCTACAGAGTATAAATTACCCAGACATCCCAAGCAGCTCCATCCTGCCACACCTCCTTCCACCCCATCTCGCCTCTTGCATCAGGCACACAGAACTGTGTGTCTTCAGACACAAAGAAAGGACAAGAAGCTTCATCTCAAGTTCTCCTGTGTAAATAAGATGCTCCGATTTTCAGTTCTCCCTTTGCCTGACATGTAGGAGCAACCCAACTGTATTTTCTTACTATCCTGAGCTGGGCAAGAGCCCTATTGCTTCCTCCCTTCAGGCCATCTTTAGGGGCTTGTTGGAGCAGGAATATCATTAACAGCTCCCCATTCAAGCCTGGTATAGTGATTTTTAAATCCCTTTTAAACCATAAGCTTTTAACATACCTTTATCACTGTGGCCCTCAGCTACTTATGCAAACATAACACACATTTAGGCACCTCTCCTGAGCTACACCAGGTAGAGAGTTTCTGGTCAAGTCAACTACTTTGATTTATTGCTTCTCAAAGTTACAGAGATTTTACAACTCAGTTATTGCTAAAACATCCCAAGTGACCTTTCAGTTTCCTTTTTTGAAAAACAAAACTATACCTAATTTAAAAAATAGATTTAGAAGTCTGGACACAAATTCTGACCTGATTTGTTCCTGACTTCCTAGTGCCAGGGCAGCCTGTAAAGTTCCCAGGAGACTGCCAGAAACAAACTTCTCATAAGAAGCCTCGAAGACAACACAGTTTTAGAGCCCTCCTTGATAGAGCAGTTACCACAAGGCTGCCCTGCACACTCAGAGAAGAGGCATCAAGCCCTAGCACAAGCACGATGTGATTCGGCTAAACCAGAACTTGAGAGCACGGGGTCCTGACAACCAAATACCTCCCAGCTTCACCAGTGGCTTGTATTTGTGACATCAGTACTAGTCCCAATTAGAAAAAAGTTTTAAAACACTCTAAAAGGTCTCTATAAATGTCCATGGAAAACAAACAGGTATCAGGAAACAAGCAGCAGAAGCTACCGGCACGTGTTGGCTTCCACCTTGCCTCGCTCCACAGTATTTACTGTCCAACAAGTGTAACAAAACCTGCCAAGTCGCACCTTTCCAGTGCACTGCAGAACAGATGTACCGTCCCACTTTTCACATCAGCACTTCGGGATGCTCACAGACACACTTACACAAGGATGATGTCCCAGACGACTGCCTTCTCATGGTTTCATGACAGCTCAAAACACTCCAAGTGCCAGCACGCAGATGAAAGGACAGGAATTCAGTGATGGGGGACACGTTCCACCACATCTCTGTGGAAATCTATTTTGGCACTGGCAGACAGGTTACGGTTTTGTGGCTGTGCAGGGGTCTTACAAGGCCTGCAACATTTTAGGGATGTCAGAAGGCTGAACAGCACAAGTGAGAAGCTGCAAATGCTGTCAGGTTATTTCTGACCAAAATCCATTTACAAAAAGAACAGCTA